GCAGCAGTACATGGTTCTAAATGCAGATTCTCATTCCCGGGCGCAGGGGCGATGAAGGTGCATCAGATCCGATGAAGACTCCGATACGAACTGGCAGGGAAACTGACTCAAGCTACACACCATTACAGAACACCATATCGTGGCTGGAGATTTTCGAACTTCTGGAATCATGGCGCCTAAGTCGCAGCGAGTGATCAAGATTTTCTCGGAAACATGATGACACTGTGTAGTGATATGCATGTTGTACGTAGTGATCGACGCGTGACTTACTGTATACATCAAAAGTCAAGCATCTCCACGCTACCACTTTGGCATGCACGTAAGCCGGTAGTGTACCAGACTCTTCTAGACCGATTTACCGCCATTTCGAGATTTCAAGAAGAGAGTGGTCTTGGAGTCGAAGTACGGTGTATCGCTTGCGATCTCATCTGTATCAAGAGGCGAGCGATGAGAGATCTGTACGTTACGCCACTGAGGTGTAGCGTGTTTGATCATCCACATCGATGTTTTCTAGAAGGCGATCAAGGTGGCAATAAAAAGGAGATCTGCGTGGGAGGCGTACGTGCCGTGAGCAGGAAGATGGCTGGGGCAGTTGCGCACAATGAAGCTTTGCTGCCAGGGTGTTCCAGGTATCACAGTGTGATGTAACATGTTGAGAGGCACAGAGGCTGGGAATTCACTGCTAATTCTCTACAGGATTCAACCGTAGTCGGTGCATGTCAGGGCCGGCTTATGTACCTCTTCCGTGGTTAGCTTTGACGGCTGCATTGCATCGGTACTGTTGGCTGCTACTACCGAGCTCAGCATTCGCCTTGCCATCGTTATTAGCCGCTGTTGGACGAGCATCCTATGTCTTGCTCCCCTGTTGGATATGCCTTCGTACTTGCGGTGAGTGTTGTTCAAGCATACTGCTGCACTCCGATGTGAGTGTGTCTGCTGGACATGAATGATGGTGTTGAGCCTACATTCCAAGGTTTCAAAATGCGGTAGCTCCAAGTCAACAGTTCTGAGACGTCTGGCGGTCAAGCTCAGTTGCTTCGTTGTCTTTCCTTCCGCGGAGGATCTCACAGCTTCGCGGTAGAGGTGTTGAATTGCGATTGGGGTTTGGAGCGTTAGTCGCGCTAGATCAGCTTGTTGCGATACCCCATGGTATATTCCGGAACATAATACTGTTGTAGCGCAACCACATTGCACCTTATCCATTGAAACCATATGTCGATATCGGTAACCGCCAGACTGCAAAGCATCTCTCCTCTTCACGGTAGATACCGAGATGAGAAGACTGCAGGACAACTTGGAAGCGAAGCGCTGGTAGCGATGCTTGCCCGCCGGATAACCGTCAAGGTTGCTAGAGGTAGCCCAGGAGCTAACTACACCGTACAGCACCTTGTTGCTGACCACTCAAGACCCAAGAAGTGATCGACGGTGAGCCCTGGAGCGTGAATAGGGTGATGTCTTCCACACTCGTATACAATGCGGTGTAGATACGCGAGCACCAAGCGATTTGGAAGTATTCAGGGGATTACATGAGCAGCCGTGGCTGTACGATGGTATCGAACGCGATCTGATGGTGAAGGCAGGGAACATGGGATGAAACACATCAGCGGCCCCGGGGAAGCGATCGGGCCTATCCGTTTGGTCACTGGCATCTGCGGCTGACCTGTCCGCCTAACCAAGGTGGGTCTGACAGGACGAACTGTGCGTCTTTGACCCGCGGGCCTAGGATCTTTGCTCGGTTAGCATCACGCACATGCATGCGTCATTTGGCTAGCATAAGGTTCACGAACCATTCGCTTCACTCGAGAGTCGATATCTTGTGAAGCGGACACTAACACAGACAGACCACTAGGTGGCGATCGCAGTCCAGTACCACCGAACAAGGACCGCGGCCTGCTGCCGCTGGTTCCGTGCGCCGCCGCCGCTGTTGCCGTCCGCACAGCCAACGCCTGTCAAGAAAGTATCAATGAACCGGACGCAAACGGGAAATATGAGCGATGGGGGTTTCTGGCAGCTCGGGTTTCGTACAACAGAGAGAAATGAGTGAAGTGGCCAAGTGATTTTGGACGATATCCGATATCTTGGCACTACAACAATCTTGCACAAAGACCGCTCGATGAAGGACAGAGACTAAGACAAGTCCACACTGCTGCGATATGAGCTCCGTTGTACACGAGCATTCCATGGTGGTCCATCATTTTTTGGAGGTTGAAGTGCGAGATTTGATGCCGCATGATGGTGTCCAGCACTCGTTTGAGACTACTGCAGGTCCACGATTTCGGAAGAAGAATTTCTTAGTATTGCAACCCCTCCAAACCTCACTTACCAGCATCAACCGCATCGACCTTAGGTCGAAGAGTTGTCCCCGAGCCACGCGGCTCAACGAAACCCTGCACTTCGGATCTTTGTGTCCCAGTGTGGGAGGTTGAAGCAATCGCCCTCTGCACGAGATACCTTAAGGGTCCGCACGGATGATCCGGTGAAATACTACGACGCGATCGATACACCCTGGCACGGAAACCTGCCACACAGATTACTCACATGCAAGTCTCAACCTATCTGGTCCCGGTCACCAAGGACTAGAAGTGGAAGGAGGAAGCATCGGTCCTCGGGAGGTGTAGATTGGTCACATCCGTCCAGCATTCAGCTCTGCTCTCTTGGTAGGGATACCCCAAGGGCATGTAATTGAATCTTGGACAGTGCTTCCCACTGAGGGGCGGAGAGACGGGTGTACTGCCATGCCATCTCGGTATGTTGCAATCCCGTAGTCGCCTACGCCGCTGTTTGGCATGTAGATCAATAGCACGATCTGAAGCCCCTGCAGCTGTTTGAGCTCCTTTCAGCATTGACTCTGTATTTCAAATACATGTCGAGAAAACGGTCGTCAATCGGGCTGTCAAGGATGAGAGACTTTAGTCTGGTCGATACGGGAAACCTAAGCTGCTTAAAGATCCGAGCGCGTCGTTCGAAGTTAATTTCCAAAGATGGCGTTTTGAATTGGGGTATATGGATTAGTAGTACTAAGGGCCGTTGGTGGCAGGTCTAATGGCGCAATAGAGACTGTGGATACATAGGGAAGCACGCGCCGTACATAGCGTCGGCCTAGAGACATCGCCGACTGTGACGCCACGAGAGTCTGAACTCACTGTTGGGCCACAGCATGTGGCGGGTAACAATAAATTTGATCGCCCTTAACGCAGGGGCGCCAATAGCAAATACAGAGGCGGGCGGGGTCATGGATACCAAAGGCAAGAACTTTGATGGTACCTTTTAGCTGAGAGGATACATGGTGAAGTGCCCCAATAGATCGGAAAGGTTCCACATAACCGCTGAAGTGGGATGAATTTCTCATTGCAAGATTGCCGTAATCGCGTGAGCAAATATTTGGGGCTAATGCCCGAAGTTGTGCTAGCGCCATCTGCCAAAGCCACGTGATTTGGTGCTCTTCACTCCTTCATGTGCGGGCAGAGACCCTGTGAGAACCGTGATGCTATTCCAGCACGTCGATCTCCAAAAACAACTGTACAAGTCGACAGTACCATTGGCATCTGAATTGCGATTGTTTTCAGCTTCGACCACTGCGATGCTCGAACTCATAAGCTTTGAAACAAAGCCGAAGTGGGGCGGCATACCCGTCTGCTTCCCCGATGACAAGCTGGGACTCCCATACAGACTAAGGCACGTCAAGATCTGACCTATGCTGCGTCCGGGCGCCGCCTCTTATTACCTAAGGTACTTCGGGTTTGAGGCGTTCCATTCGTAGGTGGAGGTAATGAGCTTGTCCAGAAACACCAATGATTGGCGAGTGTGGGCTTCATCTACGGTCCCGTCAACGCCCCGGGTAGAAGCGTCGACCGCCACGCCGCCGTCGATTATCGGATGCAATAGCGCATATCTGCACCCACGTGTGTATGTTCGGAAGACCAGGAGTCGCGCTTCACACTACGCCGAGGACCCAAGAAATTGCCAGCCACGATAAGCCAGTATGCGAGGATCCTCACCGGGATGCCGGCTGGCCTAGCACACGAGGAATTCGTACTTGGTCGAATGCTCGTGGAATGTACTGTACGTTTCTGTTGACGACGCGCAAGCCCTGTATGTTTCACGATCGGCCTCGAATTCGACATTGCGACTGCTGCTATCCGTGAGGCAATCGGACAGCCGACACCCGATATGCAGGGAGGCTCAACATTGACTCCTGGGGTAGGCCGCACGGTGAATTTTGGCGGTGATTAACGTATCGACAAATGGGGTGTGGCTTGGGCGTCTTGTCCTATGGAACCCCCACACTGCACATGAGACGGCGAAGCCATGTGTCCGTTCACACCTGGGACCGTACCCCGGTTCCGTCTTCAGACTGCATCCTAGTCGGCTGTCGTGCCCCGTACATCCACCATTCTCTGCTGGTTAGCCTTCCACTAAAGCCTCCATCCCAGTAACTTCTTGGCTGCATGCGAGAGCGATATTCCCTGTTCGTCTTGCAACCATGCTCTGGCTTCTAACCCTAGTCCCTTCGGCTTGCTCCACTACAAACACCATCCTTGCTTGCGGGATGCTCACAGTGGTAGTGTATCGAGTTGGCCCATTCATATGTAAAGCCCCAAACGCTCCCCCATACCACAGCCAGATCGATCGAGCACATCTACAACACTCCCACGTCATCTGACCCTCTATCTCCACCGCATCTTCTTATTGCAGTCTTGATAGACCTGTTCCCGACAGCACACGGCCCAGCCCATACTTGCTTCCTACCTTCGCCCTACCAACTGCAGGGTATACCACCATTGTACCCTTCTGCCCATACCGTGGCAACAGCTTCTCCATCTGCCATGGCTACCGTGGTTGCATCTCACAACATTGGACTCTGGCAAGACCGACGAGAACCCTCAATGCACATTCCTAACATGCATCTCAACAACATCATGCCTCCCTACGACACTTCGCGGAATGTCTCGAACGCTCCTGTCTCTCGAGAATATCAACCCACTTCAAACCACATGGACATGAACAACATGCCTCTCTACTCAGCAAACACTCTCCCTACCTCCGTCCCCTACCAAGCTGGAGCATATGCATACGACGTTCCCACATCGGTACCAGTAAACCCATACAACATGCAGCAAGCTTCCTACTACGCATCGAACATGCCACATCCCGTGTCATACCCTCAATCACATGATATTCAGGCGCTTCCCACTCTGCCAGATGTCCGACATGTGTTCAACCCAAACGTCAAGTCCGAGGGTACATCACCGGCGCAGTCAAACCACATGTATGCGGATCCGTCCTATGGAACCGAATTGAAGCGATCTACTTCAGAGCCTACAGAAGGTAGCGGTGCCAACTTCGCTACTGATGTGGACACTCTTATGAGGGCCATCCAGGCGAAGCAGACAAACCCGCCTCCAGAGAATGAGCAGAAGGTATGTTATTCACTCCGAGACTTCAAATTCGACCTTCTAATGTTTCGCAGGACGACGCATCAAAGAATGCCCAGAAGCCTAGGAAGCGTTATCAGTGCACTGTGCCCAACTGCAACAAGAGCTTCTACCAGAAGACACACCTTGAGATCCACATACGCGCCCATACTGGTGACAAGCCATTTCCTTGCAAAGCACCTGGATGTGGCCAGTCCTTCTCGCAGCTCGGTAACCTCAAGACACATGAAAGGCGTCACACCGGAGAGCGACCATACAGCTGCGACATCTGTGGCAAGACATTCGCCCAACGTGGCAACGTTCGCGCACACAAGATTGTTCACCAACAGATCAAGCCCTTCAGCTGCAAGCTAGACGACTGTGGCAAGCAGTTCACTCAACTAGGCAACCTCAAAGTTTGTTTCGCCCAAGAAGACTCCTCATTCTGTCACTAACTAGTTGTAGTCCCACCAGAACAAGTTCCATGCCGCTACTCTCAGGTACCTTACCACAAAGTTTGCCACTATCAACCCAGGCGACTATGTCTCCCAAGAGGACAAGGAACTCTGGGAGTACTTCGCATCGCTATACAAGAACTCCAACAAGGGTATCAAAGGTCGAGGCAAAGACAGGCGCATCTCCGCCATGTCATCATCCGCTTCTTCATACCCTTCTTCATACCCTTCTTCCTACGCCTCTATGTCAATGGCTCCCATGGCCCGAGGCTACTCCACCTCTTTCCACCAGCAAAGCAGCGACCGGGAGAGCCGCTGCTCATCGATGTCTTCCGACACCATCACAATACAACGAACAGACAGCGCATACGACTTCAATGCACCAATGCACAACGGGTACCACCACCCTCAAGGCAATGGCTACGACGATATGGTCTTTCCTGAACGGAAGATGTACTGAGCACTGCTCAAAGCAAATGAGCAACACTATAGAAGACTTCGGTTCAATCCGTGGGAGTTCTTGGATATCGGCGCTTGAATCGAGTAGGCATCGGGGCACGGGCGATAAGTACCCAAGCTAGCGCAGCGAAGGGTACAATCTCTTTATTGTTTTCTATCATCTTGTTCACACGGGCGTTATGGCATAGTTACGCTGCATCAGTAATGTCTTCTCACGCATTCTTGTCCACGCCCATTATGTTTGGCGTTTAGTGTCCCATGTATTGTTGTCCCATGTACGCTTGTTTGTCAACCAGTTGCAGAAAGATCTACCATAGCGCCACGCCCCGGTGCGCATCACTGTACGAATAGAGTAGCATTATGAAGCAAAGAACATTTATCCATCCAGTCACTGTCCTCTGTCTTTGCGCCGCTACAGTATCAACAGAACGCAGTGTGGTGCAAACTGACTCACCGCTCAACTGTACTCAACATCTGGAGCGTACGCGACTGGTTCGCTGCAATATGCAAGATGCAAGGCGACTGCGCAGTTCATTCACCGCAGCTTTCTGCTCGCAACACCCACTCGCTTAGACTTGCGCCCAACAGGCCAGTAGTTTGAAGTGACAGTGTTGTAATTGCATTAGCTACATGTCTAGGCACATCTTCAGATCTAGCTGGGTTGTCCATGACTGTAGTGCAAGATAGGAACTGACGTTTCTGAACTACGGCTGACTGCCGCCGATTGCCGACAAACTACGCACTGGCGCAAGTAAGTGGGTTGTGGAACTACCTACAGTATATGCCGTGCAGCACCTATACAAGCTTGCACGAAGCCGCAGGCCCGCAAAGTGGACCACTTACTATTAGGCATGCCGCCCAACACTTGAGCAGTGAGATTCATGATTCTGCCTTTGGCCCCATTTACCCAGTCATTTGCCTCACCCTCAATTTTCCCATCTCGCAGCATCCTCATTGAAGATAGCAATCCTGTCAACGAATCATATCTTGCGCAGAGCTTCTCCGCGGGTCAGTATTGGGCAGGTAAAGAGATGCACATCCCGCGCTTCCGCCGCCGCCAGATCGCAGACCGGGTTCCCCAACTACCACCATGCGGGCGTTCTGAGGACGTAAGACGCGTCGCTAAGCGGCCAATGGCACCATCTTTGGGCTCTTATGCCCGGAGTCCAAGGCGCCTTCGCCATCCTTCAAACAGCCAAATGATGCCGTCGCCATCTCCGCGAACGATTGAGGTACGTAACATCGCCGTCTTGCGTTGCAATATGACGTTGAATACGGTGCAACCATGCTAGGAATGTCCAAAGCCTCACTTCTACGCGCTGTCAGGCTATAGAACACTCGACACTTGAGCCCGGGTGTGGGGATATTTCCGTTGATTGGGTAGGATCTGCATTCTGCTAACTGTCGATCTATTTGTCTACGCAGGTCCAGAATTCTGGAATGTTATGACGTATATCCGCCAACTTTGCTCGACATTTGGGCTTTCCCTGGTGAGGCTTCACGATAGGAGAAATTAGTCGCTTTAGGCCTGTCACATGGATAGGGGGCGCGATGCTGATGTGGATGGGAGTGGGAGTTGGGATCCGCCGTGGGGTGCCACGCCTTATCATCCGTGGAAACCGAGGCATCGACTCACGATGGATTAAACATGGCGTGAGGGAATCGATTGGGCTGAAGGAAGCGTTTCATGTCAATGCATCTCGACTTACAAGGTAAGATACTTGGGCATTTGTCTGCAAAGCGTGGGGAGGACAAACTGTTGGTCGACGCCTCGCTGGTGAGCAAGGTCGTGCTTGTCAGCATGTCACTGTTAGCGCACGACTCGCTCCCTCACGCCCAACCTCCAACTTCACGCTCTCGCCTCCACGTTCTCAACGTCCGCATCCAGACACGTGGAACAAAACACTCATATTCGCACGGTCTTCGTTCTCTGGCTACGACACTGTGGTTGTTTTTTTACGTTGACCCGCGTTCGCAGACAGCCGCAAAGGTAGCCAGCAGCGCCCAATGCTGTCTTAGCCAACTACAATCGCGTATAGCCCCTGTAAGGAGCACTCCCGTTCCTCTCGTCAAAATGCCGGTTCTCAGCTCACAACCCCTGGACCGCTCGGTTGAAATCTCCCGGAAGCGGCTTACCGTCTTGCCGGGACCCTCTTTTGATGTTCCTGGAGTACCTGAACATGGTAATTCGAGTCAGTTCATGTAGGCCTGACTGAATATGGAAAACCTTATGTCTCCAGGGCTTGCTGATGAGCTGGCCTGTCTCGGTGACCAGGCATCTGAGTCGTGCGTACTACGGGTAAATAAAAGCGAAAGAGAGGGATAGAGAACACGAACGCGAATGAAAGCGGGTCATGCAAATTCCAGTGTTGATGAGGATTTGCAAAACTCTTCGGTGGGGGCGTTAGAGACTCCGCTATATTCGCGTCCAGAACGCTGCAAGTTGGTGATCACGACAAGGTGAATGGCTAATGAAGGGCTGTAGATGCACACTCCTCACAGCACGCAGAGACTGCCTTGGAAGAGAAGAAGTCTCCTACTATAGGTCTGCCCAGTCATGACAACGTCCGTGGAGCTGACCACATTCATCATCATACATCCCGATCCCAGCACTGCTCAGATCTCATCCACCCATTTTCCCCTGAGATCTCTGCCGGAACATTGCATATGCAATGTATGTACCCGTTCCCAGACACATGACTATGTATCCCCACTCACGCGCTGCGAACCTCTGGTCTGAAACATACGTCAAAGTTACACGGCATTAACTACGTCGCTAAATTGGGCAGCCTTCCATGCTGGATCGAATCGCAAGTGCCGCCTGCAATATCGTTCTGCGGTGCTCTTCGGAGAATTTTCAGAACAATGCAGGGCTTGTATGGTGGCGGAACTTTTTCCTGCATACTCGTCACAGCACTCGAACCTTAAGCGCGGAGACAGGGAGCAATATGGGGCGGCCGTCTAGCGGGCTTGTATTCGTCACGAATAGGCGACACAGGGCCTATAGCGCATGTATTCGGACATCACGCCTCCATATGTGTTGGTATGTACTGCTCGCATCATTAATGCATGTCTCACTTTGACAAGCAAGCGACCTCCACCTGTATCCTGTCAGATTTCTGGTGCTTAGGCGAGATGAGAAGTTCACACGCGAACGTGGTGGAACACTTCCCCTTCGAGACCGTCATACATTCGTACGCCTGCTCTATCCAGTGGCTCGGTCTCACCGGTCTAGCTCGTAAACCTGCGGCATCTGAACGACAAGACGAGGATAGCTCGGCCATGGATGTCAATGCATCCTGCAACCATCTCCCATCTTCAAAGTCACACAGTCTCGTGGGCGCTTCAACCCTGGCCCTCGGCTCTCCATACTTTCGATCAGAGATTATGGTTTCGGGCATGTCCGTCTATATGCATCTCCCCCTGCATTGTAGTTGCCCATTCGCTCACCTCACGTTCGATGGTGGATTCCGACTGTTCGGCATGCCGACGTTCTCGTATGTCTTGCTTTTCCCGCCATCACCATCACCACTCCCGAGCCTGTTCATTTCTAATACTACCATATAGAATACGCCTCCCGTAAAACCTAGTTCAGCCTCCCTGCAAGCTCGACTTCATGTGGCAAAAACAAGCGCAGTCGTACAACGCTTGCTATCAACCCCTAATGGACCGTTCGGATACGAGTAAAACATGGGAATATCGGGAGCCAGGGCGCCCTGTCTGCATATGAAAACGTGTGCATATGCTCACAACAGCTGCCCGAGAGACCTTGCTGCATATGGATGGGGAGCTTCTGGAGAATAACGGGAGCCGGGGCGACATATTGCTTCGAGGTAGACCTGCAGCCGATGCAGGGAGCCAGTCGAAACGGGACTTTGGTGCACTAGAAGCAGAGCTGTATTACCTCAGCATAGGAAAAGTGAGAGGCGAGCTCGGCCTTGGCGAGAACGTAAGTATTAGAAGCGTGGGGTTTAGGTGGCTGTGAGTCCAATATTGATGACGATGAATAGCTGGCTGGTCCAACGCGCGTGACACTATAGTCTCCAGCTCTCTACGCCCCGTTTCAAGGAACTTGCAGATCAGGGGATGTCAGGCAATATCCACCAAGTGTCAATGTCAACCTTCAGAACTGTCATGTTAGGGTCGTTTAAGCTGTCATATCGAAAATGCCGAGAAATGTATTCAACCCATGCCTTCTTCAAGAATTTTATGGAGTTATCGCAGGCGGGGTGAGCAAAAGCTCTACAGGTTATCTTCACTACCAAACTATCCGAGACTGCTCGTGTATCATCATCAACCCAAGGGCCATGTCTGGAGATTGTCTTGATGGCACCCGGTTAAAGTTAACACTCCTATGCTCGGTGGCTAACATCGGACGGGCAGCTTCGTTTCCTTGGTCCGGAGTCAGTAGCCACTCTCCGTTCTTCGATACTTCCGCGAAACTTTCACGACAGTATTTAGAAGCAATTCATGTAACATGTTCAATGTTGCAGAAGTTCAATATTCTCCTTCTTTACAGTCATGGCCGTTGTCGCGTCGACTAGTACACCACTGATCGTATATGCAGCTCCACAGACAGTCGTAGTATATCACTTCGCCACTAGCTCTGTCGGATATAACGAGTACCGGAAGTAAACTCGAGGGCGTACTTGCACGAATATCTCGCATTTGAGCACCCCGCTACGAACAACACTGCAGCGGCAATGGTGCATCGAGAGTTTCACGATGCGAGCGTTCGATGCTGTACCATTTCGCATATAACACGGCATAAACACGGATTACAGGAATGAGATGAGCCGTAGAGAGATGGGATCAAAGAGGTATAGCATACAGTGACGGCCGGGGAAATGTGCTGCAGCCTGGGCTTATTGTAAGCCAACCAGCGCCTGGATTGTCTCCTGTTAGCTGGAAGTTGCGGTAAAGCTCAAAGACGGGATCATTGGTGCAAAGAGCGAGCAATTCCGTTTGACGGCTGATCGGCTGTGGTGTACACAACAATGACGACACCCTACATGTACCTGTACATGCATGCAATAAGGCAGGCATACTCTTGCGAAAACACTTCACGTATGTACAAGTATCAAGGTATCTGATCCATCTGCTACTACGTACGAAGTACTAAACCGATTCCAGTAAGCTACAGTAGGTACACCGTTTACAATCATGTATGTTCAATTCGAGACCGTGCGCCACATACTTGCCTTGAGCATGTAGTTAAGGTTTGGCTAATGCGACTACCTTCAACCCTGAACCAAGATACGTGAAAGAGAGTAAATCAAAACGAGATACGTGTCTCATCGGTGATGCCGATGTAAGTTGGAGGACTGGAAGATCATCTCAAGGTGCATCTCAAAGGTACCGGGGTGATTGTGCACCCTCCAATTGACTTGTAACACACTTGTCACTCGATCATCTGACCGGACAGTTGTCAAGTTCAATTTCTCGAGATCTCCCCCAGAAGACGATCTCCGAGTATCTGGTAGCTGTCAGATGTCGCGCATTACCATGGTACCCGCAAACCTAGTGGGTAATCAGCGCTTCGCCACATCATCCCACCTATGCAAACATATGTCCCAGTCAGCCGGCAAACTAGCCTTGGTTCAGCTTCAATTGCACCCATGTAAACGCACATTTGGTAAACTTAAAAACTAGCCTCGTAGTTTGCTGATCCATACGGCGGTGAGAAGGCAGCTCTATGGTGTGGCGGGGTCCACTCCCATTTAGGAAGTTGGTGGGTGGAGGTGTGGATGAGAATTGCTTTTGCCCCATCTCTCGCCTCGGTCCCGTCCCAACGTTGGTACATGCTAGCGAAGACATCCCTGACGAGCTGGGCGCTTGGGATTATCATCGAGGCGAAGAGCGAATTGGTGGTTTTCTCACCGCTGGTTTTATATGCGAAGTCTGTAGCGCGCGCATCCCGTTGGTTGAGGGGGTTGGAGTTTTGGGAAGGAAGCTGATGCCCCTCGTTTTTGAGATTGAGAGACTGTTGAATTTTGTCTTTCAGCGTTTTGAAGGGGCAGGATTGCTTCAACGTAGCTTCGACACTTGATTGGAAGATGGTAGATTTGCCGAACTTATATGTTAGTGTGCGGCTTTTGTAAGCACATATGTCGACAGCAGGTTCTAATTGGACTAAAATGCTAAATTGTCAATGCAAGAAGACTTTCTTTTACCCATAGACATGTATGTAGTCGCGACTTCCGTAATGCAGGTCTCTTCTTTGAGCGCATCGTTCGTCTGGTAATGATACTACTTGTGCGCAACCCTGTAACGTCCCGTGGTACCATCAACGATCAAGTATGGAAAGCTCTACAAATTACGCAAACAATAAAGTTCTTCATAGCGTTTCTTGGTTATTCGAAAACGGTAAGGCTTGGAGGCGTATGAACTATGTGTTACTTTGCAGCACTTTCGAACTGTGTGATATCGACTACCTTGGAGCTGTTTCGGGTTTCGTTCAGAGTCGGAGAGGACAACAGTGATATCAATATGCTCCGGTATGCATCGCACCCCTCTCCTTCCGGCGTATGTTGATCGAAGTCGCTCGTGAAGATACTGTGGCGCTCTAGTAGCTTCCAGTGTTCCTTTGCCCTTTTAACAGGAATATCGGAGCGTCTTCTAGTATTGTCGGCCATGAAGCCCTCCATCTCTTCACAATATTGCTCAATTCTTCGAGTTTATCTATTCGCTCACTCTCAACACTCATCCATTCCCCAAACATCTCCAACTCTAAACCCGACCGGAAAAGGATCACCGTTATCCATCAAGACCTGCCTATACCCTGTAATCCATCCCCTTCCCTTCACCCTTGGTAATATCGCTTCGTACTTTCCAACCTCCGTCGTACCCAGTATGCTACACTGAAACTCCGTACCAATTATGCTCTTATGCACGAATTTCTCCCCAACCTGCAGCAGCCCCTTCTTGTGCAACACCGCCATCCTCGCCGAAGTTCCCGTACCACAAGGACTACGATCAAATCGGCCTGGGGAAACGACAACAGTATTGATAGCACTCTTCGTCCCATCTCCCTCCTCCACAAGTGGCCCTGTCCACCCCAAAATGCTAACCCCCTTGATCCCCTCGTTGAGCGGATGGACCGGCGTATAAACTTTCTGAACCGCCCTCATAATCTTCTGCCCCAACTCCACCAAGTCCCTACCATACTTGTGCTCGATAGCCAGGTCAAGCGACTCAGCATCCACGAGCACAAAGTACATACCGCCCCACACGATATCCACTTCCACTTCGGCATTCTGTAAACCAGGTACGGAGACTTTGTAACCAAGTTCGTAAACGAAGGAAGGTACGTTGTCAAACTCAACAGTCTTGCACTTTCCTCCCTCACATTCAGCTCTCACGCGCACCAGTCCCGCCGCCGTATCTAACACGACTGTCGTGACCGGTTCCTTCATCTCTAGCCTGCCACTCTCGAGCAACACTGTAGTTACGCAGATGGTATTGCTGCCACTCATAGTGGCATACTCGTCGCTTTCCAGGATAAGGAACCCAGCATCGGCTGAGGGGTCGCATGGGGATAGGAGAATGTTCATACATTGGGAGACACGGCCGCGAGGCTCTTGCATGAGCATTTGGCGGTAATGGTCGGCGTTGTCGCGAAAGTGACATAGTTTGGCGTACATGGTGGGGAGGTGGGTAGGGTCCGGGATGCCAGAGGTTATTACGTCGCCAATTTCGCCTTCGGCATGGACTGTTGTTATGGAGATCATGGGAGGGGTGTTCTCCTTAGAGGTGGCCATGATGATGATGACGGAAGAGTACGTAGCTATTGGGGATGAGAGAGGGGGTGGCTGGCTTTGTCACAGAGGGTCAGTCCAATAGTGAACACGTTGTACTGCAATTACGCAGCATGACTTGTTTGTGTACTTACTTTGGATAGGGCCGATGGTAGTGCTGTATAACAGAGTTTAAAAGACCAGGACTTGACGAAGACGAGTTTTTGTCAATTGTTTTTCAGTCGACGCCTCTTTTCTTAATTCAAAGATGAACGGATTCGTAACATACGACATGATACGTATGACTTCATTCATGCATGTATTGGAAAGGGCGCGGACTAAGGCCAAGTGACACGAGTCAGGCCCCGCTCCGTACGATGAGGGGTCAAGCTTACCAACTTGTCCAAATAGAGCTGTTTGCCTGATATCATGATGCGATTTGCAACTTGTTCGAGCAAAGACGAATGCTACATGCCAGCCACATTACTATTAATATTCCAGGAAGCGATTCTTCAAACTCCCTATGCTCCATTATATTACAAACAAGGGCTCTGCTCCTCAAAGCAAAACCGGTATACTCAAAGTCTTGATGCAACGAGCGCAAAGAACGATATATACACACACAGAAATATTCAATCCAAACAGCCAACGAAGACCGGCCCGCGATCACATGGGCATTTAACTCTTCGCTCCAAAAACTTTTCGTAACAGCGTTTCAACATCTTTCCCACTTGCAATGTACTTGAGACGAAAGGAACGTCTAGCGGACCTTTTTCGTTTCAGAAGCATATGTGCGGTTATTCTCATCGCCCTCGACTTGTTGTACCATTTTGTCGACGGCTTCGGCCTGCTTCTTCCACTCGCTTTGACACATCTTGAGCTCCTTTTGGAAGAGCTCGTCGTTGGGCTTCCTGTAACTTCCTCCAAGGCGGTCCCAGAGGGTAGTGTACTGTCCGTAGTTGTAGTTGAAGTATAGATGGTGCATGGTGTGGCAGGCGGCACCGTTGATGATAGGAGAGTTGTGCGCGTACTCGCCGTCGTGGATCAGGACAGTCCAGATGTTGACGAAGACGAAGAGGAAGACGTATGCGAACTTGGACAGGGGAAATACGAAGGGGAAGATGTGGTAGGGCAGACCCTGAGCGTAGCCGTCGGCGGGGTGGAACGCGTGCGAGGCGAAGGGAGTCGGCATAATCCACTTGTGGTGTGGCTTGTGGACGTACTTGTAGACGCGGGGGTGGTGCAGACCACGGTGGATCCAGTAGATGGCCGAGTCGGTGAAGAGGAAGAAGAGCGGGAACTGCAGGTAGTTGTACCAGAGTCCCGGGCCCTGGTCTACGGTATCGTACAGCTTAGAGTATCCGCGGACCTCGAGCAGGAACCAGGGCACGGTGAAGATGGCCATGATGGGGAAGGCGATGTTGGCCTGTTTCATCTCTTGCTTGATCTGGTTTTTGAGGTATCGTGGGTGGTTGAAGGTGGCCTTGTCAAAGACGAAGTAGTACGAGGCGCCTGCGAAAACGTAGTAGACGAGTACGCCAAAGAGCCTACGGGATTGTTAGGAGAGTTTAGCCATTGCGTCTGGGGCAGTGCATACCATGTGATAAGGTACAATGAGAGAGCCTGTCGTCGCCAATCGTCACGCGTCCATTGGCTCATGTAGGCATATTTGGAGGGCTCCACGGAGAAGAACTGCGTCGAGGGCTCGTACTGCCAAGTCGCATGTGGCACGGCGAAAGCGGTGGGCTCCTCTCTGATGCTTGAGACGGTCGCATTGCCGGCAAAGGACGATGTAGAGGCGGGAAGGAGAGTGGCGTATAGAGGGTCGAACAAGAACGTGTCTGCCAATTCGAGGACGACGTCCATGGCTGCTGTGGCTGGGGTGAGGGGATGCCTCGGCGATCGGTGGATTCAGGTACGGAAGGGCTGCGATTCGTGGTGTTTTGGATGAGCAGCAGGCGCATGCAATGCAGAAACGTATTACTGTGTCGCACTGAGAAAGAAAGGCGACAAGGGCAATCCAAAAAGCAGTGCCAAAGCAGCAGGGTATCTAGGGGAATACAAACGAATGTGGCGAGGCGAATGCTCTCGGTCAAGTAGGTAGCAATAACGGGACGCAGTGCTTTATCGGCAATAACTTTTCAGCGCGCCGAGTACAAGCGTCCCTGAGCTTGAGGCACGCCAGGGTCCATCCTAACTGCATTTGCTGCTCAACCGGCTGCCTCTGTGCCAATCAAAAGTCGCGACCCAAAGACTAGAGACCCTCACGTGACTTCGCATCATAATCTCGCGCGACGGATATGAAGCATCCGCTCAGGCCGGAGTGGACTGACAGCCTTATGGGGGACGTGCAGGGGCGGCCCCTTATCAGATCTTCTCGTCCGATGCTCGGAGCATCTCGGATGGCAACAGCACGGTAAACACGCCACTGTTGCGCTTGCAAGCCGTGATTGCGCGGTTAGCCTATCTAATCAGAGCCCTTTCGGTACGACGTGAACAGCTGATGGTCATTCCTCTCTCGACTACAGCATTACTTCGCCACAATGCTGACAACATCCTCGTCGGCCACTACATGTCCAAGACCGACCTTTTGCGGCACATGCCTAGCACTCGCACCCCAGACCAAGGCATGTTTGAACGTCTCCTTCAGCGTTCGATGCACCTGGTCGCAAACATCTTCAATCGTACTTCCGTGCCGTACAATCAGCGCCTCGGAGAAATCCGGATCATTGCCCTTCCTCTTGGTGTACACCCTAATCAACCTCAACTCTTCCCAACACCTGTCCACAACATCCTGAATACCAAGGTCGAGCTCACAGCTCATGACGACCGTGTGTGGCTCCCTTGCCAGTTCGTCCAGATGAGGTAGACCGATGCTGTCGATCTTGTTGTATACATATAGACACTTGATGTATTTCCTGTGGTCCTTCATGATGACATCGATGAAGTCGTCAACCGTCGCGTTTTCGTCTCGGACAAGTACTTCGCAGTTGAGCATCTTGTAGTCTTTGAGGATGTTGTAGACCATCTTCTCATCGAGATGCTTAGGAGGAACCTGGAAGTTGATCTTCATGCCACCAGCCTTTTTAGGTTTGAGATAGATGTTTCTGCATGTCGGTCAACATCTTGCTACGCTATACCGCGAGTCAACATGAACTTACGGTGGTTCACGGTTCAGCCTGATACCCACAGCTTCCAGTTCTGCTTCTAGCAACCGCCTCTGCTCTGCTTTCTTCGTTGCATCAAGAATCATGCAGATGAGATCACTGGTTTTCGCTGCACTAATGACCTGCCTTCCTCGTCCCTTGCCCTCTGCAGCACCCTCAATGATACCCGGTAGATCCAGAACTTGAATCTCGGCACCGCCATATTCCAGCACACCAGGAATCGCTGTAAGGGTGGTGAAGGCGTACGATGCGGCTTCTGACTTTGTTTTTGTGACTCTGGAGAGAAAAGTAGACTTTCCTACAGAAGGAAAGCCAACAAGTGCTATACGTGCATCTCCAGACTTAGACACGTCGAATCCGCTTCCTCCGCCACCGCCTGCACCTGCAGCGGGCTCAAGGAGTTGTGCGCGAAGACGAGCAAGTTTTCTGTAGCCAAATTAGCACAAATGTACTGGTAAATAAGGACAGGTTTGGTACCCTTTCAGTAGACCAAGATGATATTCTTGACTTCAATGTTAGCACGTGATACTGAATGACCCCATTGCCACTGGATAATGGAGCCAAATTTGCGTAGACATACCCGTAGCCTTATTCTCTGCAAGACGTTAGCTTGGATTTTCACATTAACTGTACTTTTGGCTCACTCTGCGTCCTCCTCATCTCATCCTCAATCCTGGCGGGGCGTTAGCGCAAGGCCACATCAAAACTTCGGCGCTATCCCACTCTTTGATCTTCTCTGTGATGTTCACCATCTTGGCGGTTTATTCGAACTCTTTGCGCTCGGTTAGAGAGGGACTGGGGTGAGGATACGGTGTCGCACTTCGTGGCGGCTGCAGTCCAGCGATATCACGATGGTAAAGGTTTGGTGTTGCGGCGCCCGCAGTCCAGCGCTATCACTCTTTCAGCCTAGCGCACACGCAAGATGCAGTGCGTCATCTAGAATGCCATCAGCATTTCGCGCCACGCTTGTTTGTTTTGTGATTTCAAGTGCTTAGTACATTTTCTTTCTTTCCTATGTTGTCTGTTTCTTACCAGTGCGCCGTTTTTTGTTCCTTACCGCAAGCATGTTGTTCAAGTCCTCAGACCCTTGGCCGCACTCGCATCACGATTTGATAAATCACTACCACGCTCAGTATGACAAAGCTGTCGCATCTGGAGAATACCAACCCTTTCTATATCCCTGGGGAACAATCGGTGCGCTTGTTGTCATTATATATCTTCTTGTCCCACATCAGAATCGGCCATGGCTCAAGAGGTCTCGATACTTGGCGTTTGCATGGATGACGGGCTTTGCAACGTACAGTAATTTATACACAAGGACGAGGGCCGTAGCACCAGCTTTGGGAATTGGCCTAATCAATGCATGGAGCGTGGCGTGGGTGGGAGCAATCATAGTGTGCAACGATGCACAAACGGACTTTATGCGTATTGAGAGAATGGAAGGCGTTTTCGGATCCGATCGAAACCAAGCAAAAGAGAAGAACAGACCGAATAGCAGTGCTGAAAATGCCAAAGAGGATACGGAACATGCCACAGAACAGGATGTCGTCAATAGTTCAGCCGGACCAAGAGACCGCCATGGCCAGTTCGCGTGGCAGCCTTATCCGCTCAGGCCTTTCGCCGAGCGTCTCGACTGGGTCTTGGATATATTCTGCAACTTCCGCGGCATGGGCTGGAACTGGCGAACTTCTGCTCTCCCACCGCCTCCCAAGTTTGTCCAGGAGCAACTACACGCCAACTCAGGTGACGTGGTGCTAAAACACTCGTACAGGATCCACGATGGACAAGTAAAGCTCTATACAGACAGGAAAGAGTTGCTCAGGAATAACGCGTGGACATTTGTTAAAGGCTACTTCATCATAGATGCACTGAAGACGACAATGATGTGGGATCCTTATTTCTGGGGCTATGTCGACAGAGCACCACCGACATACCTTCCTTCCATCCTTACAAACAGTCCGGTCCTAACTCACATATACCATCTGGCACTGTCTATGCTCGCTGTCAAATACGCGCTCCAAACCATCTTCTCCCTAGGACCGCTCGTCTTCTCTGGTTTGCTCTCTCCTTCTCTCCTCGGAGCGCGTGCAGAACCGTGGATGTACCCCGAAACCTGGGCACCATATAGCGTCGTTCTAAACAAAGGACTAGCCGGGTGGTGGGGAAGTTGGTGGCACCAAACTTTTCGGTTTGCATTCCAGGAACCAAGCCGCAAGCTTATTGAGGTTTTTGGTATGGATAAGAAGAGTCCTGCAGCAAAAGCT